CCCTGATCTAAAGTCTATAGAAGTCAACAGAAATATTCCTTTTGGCTTCAATGAGTATTCAATTGGGCCTGTGTATGAAGCTAAAAATACAAGAGAATCCATTTCTGTTGTGGACAGAAATTCAGTATAGATAATTCTCTTCTTTATTCTGGGGAAATTAATGTACTGCTTCTCCTGTTGGGCTGATCCTTCTGTAGATCCTTCATCCCAGCCTTCCCCTTAGAGGCATTAGTCCCAGTCTCTCACAGCAACAAAAAGCATGCTGGTTTTCAAGAACCAGGCTTCACCCCTGCCCGCTTTGATGGGGCTTTAATTCACTTATCCATCCTCCCAGGCCTGAAGTCCTCCGTCCAGATCACAGCTGTTTCCTGGGTCTCAATCTTCAGGCACATCTCCTGCCCATGCTTTAGCTGGTGAATGCATTTGAGTCCACACTTCACACTGCTAATACTATGGGCTGGGCCTGCCCAGAACAGCTTCCCCAGGGAGCTCCATCCTCCATCCTTCTGGCTGGATTGCGGGAAGCCGCCAAAGGACAATCAGCCTCAGCTATGCAAACCCTTGATTTGCTGGGTACAGCCGGCATCTCTGGTTCTGCCAGCTGGATTCTCCTAATGGACTATGCACTGGAAAATCAGCCCACTCAATGTAGCAGCTCTGTGCATAGGAAGGGCACAGCATGAGTGCCAATTCTAGATAAAATCTGAATTGTTAGTGCAGTGATCACAAACAGTGGGGCTTTGCCTATAATAGGGGCCAGGCTGAAATACCTTGCCTGCCATGGACGTAGCCATACAGCAAAATGCCAGGGCAGGCTTCTTGTGTCAGTACAGCTTCGCTCTGAGGGAAGCCTGGATGTGGAATGCACTGGCTGTAGCGCATTCGTGCTAGCACAAACAGCGCTTCCTGTGGCAGGAGGACTGCACTGGAACCGACAAAACAGGGAGCAGCCGGATCCATTTAAACACCCCCCAAGAAGCATGGAGAGGAGAACGGAAACCGCTGCCAGCCCAGGAGGCAGATGCTGTAAAGGCTTTTCTTCTCCAGGACCTGAGGATTATGCGACATTGAAGACATGGACTTTGTCCCAGCTGATGAAAGAACCGCATGGTGCTGGTGGCCAGAAGCCATGAGCAGAACAGTGGTACAACAGTGGTGTTGTAAACATACTGCTACGTGCATATCCAAACCCATGCCCACAAATATGTAAAATCAGTTTTCCATGAGCATTTGCAGCCAAGGCAAATCAATCATGGACTGTTTGCAAAAAAAAAAAAAAAAGTGCACAAAAGTGTACAAACGCCAAGGAAAGGCATTTACACAAGAATTCATGCTTATACCAGAGTTCTGTCAGGGAAAAGAAGGCCAGGGTGCTTTTAAAGTACTGACTTTATGCCTTGGTTACTTGCCCAGAACATAGAGACACAAGAGGGCTTGACTACGTTTGCGCAGCCAGCCCTTAGGCTCCTCAGCTCCCGGCTGCAGGACTTCACCTGCCAGCAATGTTTCTTGCGCTCTACAAGCACAGGTATCTCACATCCATGCTGCAGAGTACATACCCATGCATGAACAGCTGCACCACTGGGTTCCAGGTTACAAAATGAGGCACATAACAGGAGATGCCTCACTTGCCCTCCCCAACACACAGTCATAGAATCATAGAATCCCAGACTTGTTTGGGTTGGAAGAGACCTTACAGATCATTCAGTTCCAATCCCCTGCCACAGGCAGGGAAACCTTCCACTAGACCAGTCCAACCTGGCCTTGAACACTGGCAGGGATGGGGCAGCCACAGCTTCTCTGGGCAACCTGTGCCAAGGCCTCACCACCGTCACAGGGAAGAACTTTTTCCCAAGATCTAAACTAAATCTCCCCTTTTTCAGCTTGAAGCCATTCCCCCTTGTCTTATCCCTACAGAGCCTTGTCAAAAGCCTCTCTCCAGCTTCTTATCACCCTTTTAGGCATTGAAAGGGGCTCTAAAGCCTCCCCAGAGCCTTCTCTTCTCTGAGTAGTTAATTATACAAACCCATGTTGGTGGTGGGATCCCTGCCTCACCCAGTGCATGCAATGGGCACTGTTTCTGAACAAAGGACTGCCTGATATTTAATTTTCTGTCACTGTCCAGTGATTGCCTTCTCCCCCGTCACTGTATGAGCCCTTCCCTGTGACAAGTATTCATTCCCTGTAAGTCCCTCTATAGAAAGCACAGTTTACAGCAGATATGAAAACTCAGATGATGTTTTCCAAGAGCACAACTCATTTCGAGGTGAGAAAAAACTCATGAGTCTCCATTTCATGCAGGTGAACTGAGGGAAACAGTAAAAATGGAAAAGTAAAGGAAATAGATTGGAAGCCCTTAAATTAAAAGGTTGGCAGTCCCACACAACTCATCAAACTTGTCTACCTATATGAGGGTCAATGCACGCTTTCCAACAGCACAGTTTCCAAGCCCAAATTTTGCCCAGAAAATGCATCAGGAGGACTTTGCGGATAACCTTCAGCCAGGGGCCAAGCATGCTGAGACTGCAAATTCTTTGCTACGCAGGAGGAACCTGTCCCTCCTTCCCACAACTCACCATTGCCAAGGGACTGTTCCCAGCACACAAGCAAGGAGGAAGACTTAGAAAAGAAATGCCAAACAGGGAGAAAAAGGAACTTGCTTGTCTAGAGAATGGCAATTCTTCCAGTAAAATACCTGGAGCCTCCTCAGACGAACAGCACATGGGCATCAAATTTTTGTGCCCAAGTAAAGTTAACAATAATTCACCTGGCTGCTACTGGACCAAATTTCTAAGCAAGCAGATAAGCAGTAGGTCAAAAGCTCCTACTAGACTTCTTGCCACATCTCATCTTTATGGGGAGGATCATCTTTTCCTTATTTTCTTCTATAGAAATAGCTCAGGACTCCACACTGCTGACTTAGCTCCTAAAGCAGCACTCTGGAAGTCTCGGTTTACTACAACAATCTACTGCAGGGACAAAACTGGTTTTCCAAATCACATCATTAATGAGCTCAGTGTTTTCTTTCTCATTGATTTCTTTGGCCTCACTAATTGATCCAGACAGCTTCTCCACTGTGGTTTAGTATTGTGACAGCTTTGCTTAACTCACCAAAGAGGTAAAACATGACTGCTTTAAGTAAGGGGTGGAGTTCATACCTCATCATTATGAACCAGAGCTAGTTCACATAGAATACCTACTTTCATCTTGAAAGCTTTACATGCCAGCAAAAAGCAGAAGCCAACCCCAAACAGCCATGAGCCCTTAACCAGGCAAGGCAGTTCTGCTCAACACCTTTAGTAAATCATAGTATCACATTTCTCAGCATCTGACTTCTCAGAGCATACAGAGAGTACCCTGTTAATCAATTAGTAGCTGCGTATCTCCAATCTTAATGATCTGGCTGCACAGGCATTCTTGTCACAGCTTCTTACATGGACCCAGGAAGCTTCTTGCTCCTCCAACAGTTGAATATCCTGAATTTGACAATCGGGATGATATTTCAGCAACATCCTCATTCAGTTCTCCCATTCTTTCTGTTAAACCAGTAAAAGCCTGCCTGCATAAATGTTCACTCACTGATGGCCTGAACGACAGTCCTGCATCACTCAGAGACTTCACAGAAACTAATAGAAATGAATAAACTATCGTCTTCTATCACTGCTCTCTTTGTAAGGATTTTTTCGGCGTGTAAAAGTTTCATAGGGACAGGTCTAACACCACACAACTTCCAAGTGCAGGAGTGAGTGCAGTGCCAGTCCTCTCCTGTATCACCCGTGTTAAGATGGGATAACCACCATCTAGTGGTACGTGGAGGCCATTTCACCTTCCGGAGACAATGCGTCTTTGGCTTTCCTAACGAAAAGAAAACAAACTACGCTCAGCAATTTTCCTATCCTTTTCCATCTTGAGTTCAGCTCTGAAGAGTTTCTTAGCAAATATAAAAGAGGGAAACTACAAAACCAGCAGAAGCTGGTGAAAAACAAATGGCTCTATGAATGAAATAACAAGTGACAGATGTGAGCTTAAAGGCATGAGGAATTTCTATTCTACCATATGACTTTCAGCATAAGTAATTATTTAAAAAAAAAAAAAAATTGATACCAATACCTATTCCTTAACTGAAGACATGATGGTAGCTGGCTGCCATGAGATAATCTCCAGTGGCCCTCAAATGTACAGGTTCCTCCAAGGGAAATCAGTGGTTGCAGTTTAGGAAGTCCATCCACCTTGCTAAAAAGCAGGTCTAATATTAACACTGAAGATTAATGACCAGATATCTCATTAAGTAGCCAGCTAGACCTACACTGGTGCTGACAGCAATATATTCATTTCTACCTACCTCCTTCTCAGCAACTAAATTAAAGGCTGCTTCCCAAGGAGAACACAGAGTCATACCTCATCAGTTTTTGCATGTGCTTCTGTATTGCTCCTGCAAAAATGGAACTTTCCCAAAAAATTAGTGCCAAGTCCTTCTCAAACACACTGCTAATCCATAGGTGCAACTAATTTACCTTCAATACTAATTGGGGGTTTCTCTCAGCAAATGGCCAATTACATGCATAATAAGCCATTTCTGGATGCAAAAATCTAATTTGCGTGCACAATCATGGTAACTATGAACCAAAATTAGAAATTGGGATTTGCACGTCTTCTCCTTGCTGCCTGCAGAGCCTGCTTTTGATTTAACAAAAGCATCAGAAGATGTGATATTCTTTAAGGACTCACTTAATGTAACTGGTCCAGATCAGGCGTAATTTCATATCCAAATACTTGCTATTAATAAAAAAAAAATAAAACTTTTTCCTTCAGTTTTTAAAACTCAGTATTTATGTCTAATGTGCACTCAGCTGAGAGGAGCTTAGATGAGACGATCTTGACACAACACAAGTTTATCCATGTTCTACTGACATTCTTGAGACACATTTGATGATGCCCACCAAACAGACCTCTGCCAGGAAAAAGCGCATCTGGAAAATGTTGAACATTTGCAGTAGTACCTGCTCTGGTTTGATGGGCTCAGTTGTCGTGAAAATGTCAGAATAATGTTGCCTCTCGAAGACTCGATCCAACACTTCTAGCTGCTGCTGGGTGAAAAGGTCTCCTCGCATCTGTTTCCGAAGAAAATCTCTGCCTGGGAGAGAATGGCCATTTGGTACTGGGGATTCCTGAATACCTTTCAAAGAGGAGAGAGAAGGAGAATAAGTAGTCATCACAATGGTGAGACCTACATATGAGTGTCTAATTTTATCCCCTGAATACATGTGGGTACCAGTATGGTAACACCACAAAGACACTTTTGAGAGGAGGTTACAAGCAAGACACACTAACCAGTCCTCCATTACACACAACCCTCAACACAATTTACCATTAATGATTTTACACATGATTTAAAAGCAGGACAAAAGCAGGCTAAGGTCACATCCTTGCTCGCATGACTTTTACTGCACCACCTGAGAACACATCTGGTTTGTGGTCTGGATACCAGCGGACACAGGAGAATCATGTACGCCACCTATGCTACAGTCACAGTCAACTTGAGTCAGCTCCAGCAGGTTCATTTTGCCCAGGTATGCAAAATGCTTCACAGCTTCCTGCAGTACCAGCAAGTCTTGCTGAGCTCTATTCTGTGCCGAGCACTGAGCTATGATGTGCCCCTTGTAGAGAACTGCAGACGCTCCATCCAGCCCCACCTCCCACTGTACTGAGACAGGATGTCCTGGGGCCGAGTTACCACCACAACACCCTCAGCAAGACCTGATGCGATGCACTCTCTTGGTACTGCAGTTTCATTTTGTATTCCTTAAACTTACCAGTATGATGAAAGCCTGGCCTCCACAGCATGTTTATGTCTCTCTCCCCTTTGGCAGAGATTTTTAGCAGAAGTCATAAGTGACTGCCCATGGCTGAAAAGCCATGAGACAAGTTTGAAAAAATGTTTATATTGGCAGCTCAAAAAGACTCCTGCGATACAGGGGCTTGTTTCAATTTGCTTTTTGGAGATTCACAGTGGTTTTCTAGTCTTCCTTCACCTGTCAGTGCTAGAAATGTATCTTTTATGCACTGAAAGCTGAGGTCTGCAGTATTCCCAGGACTCCAGGAGGTGGAACTCCAAGAACAACAGTAAATATCAGATTTCTTCTCCAGACGGCAACACCGCACTAGACAGAGGGAGGAAACATTTTAAAAATATAAAATCTCTGCCAAGATAGTTCTGAGGAGCAGAATTCAAATGCACCCTAAACAACAAGATTTTCATGAGTGTTGCAGTGGCTTACTGTACTGTCCAAGGAGCCTGCAGAGGAATAACTTCACTCAGGACTTCTGTGGTAGATTCTGCATCAAGTTTCTGACAGCAAGTATGAGGAGATCTGTGCAAAGACGCCCTGCTTCTGTAGACAACAGTTTTGTCCTCAGACGTGTGTGGAACACAGGTGGTGCCCAGTGGGCAAGACTTTTCACAAAGGACTATTGATTTGAGATCACTCTTCAGCACAGCTGGATTTTGTAGAAAACCATGTGTATCCACAAAACCAGGCTGCTTTAACGTAGAGGTCTCGAACTGGGGAACAACACATGAAATATTTTTTCAACCTTGCTCACTCTCTGTAACAAACTGCTTGCATTTGATGTTAGCAATTAATGCTAGAAACTTCCTCCTAAATTGTAGTTCAGCAATTTAGGTAACAACAGCTTTGTTTTTACCTGTTTACAAGAAGTCACACAACTTAAATCAAGAGTAGACCATGCTGGCTTTTATGAAGTGCAAGGATCAGTTTCTTCTACACAGGAAAAAAAAACTCTGAACCTGTCCTCTGAATACAAAGTCTAAGCATGTGTAAAGAGCTGTGAAAAAATACAAGGGGATATAGGAAAGCAGTGTATGTATAAATGTATACATATTTTTTTTTTTACTACTCTAAATCAAATAATATCTAATAGACCTGATACAAGTTTAGTCAACCATAGCTTATAAGATTAAAATTCTTGTTCCTAGCTGCATGGTAGCAAAGGGCCAGGAAGACCCTGCCTCTGGAGCATGTAAACACTAGCTTTAAATTTCAGGTTAAACTAATGTTATTTACAATTTGACATCAAAGTTAAAGCTTTATGCATTTTTGGTCTAAAGGGGGTGATGAAAAAGAGTGAAATGACCCAAGACATGGCATGATCTGGAAAATGTTCTTAGGAATGCCAGTACAGTCTGTGCATTGTTTATACACCCAGACATTAGGTGTAAAATGAGACCCTATCATATTTAAATACAGAGCAACCAAGCGGCGTTTCACCAGCAGCATGTTCATTACAGGGCACAACTCTGGATTTCTGGGTGTGAATGTCTTGGAGAAAAGAAGACGGATGAAAGTGAAGTGTGGTGCAGCAGCCTTAGCCAGAGAAAGGCCCTGGGGTCTGGTGGGCAGCAGAGTTGTCCTGGGAGCTTGGCTCCGGCCCCACATCCAGGAGCGCGATGTCCAGAGAGGCACAGGATGGGCCCATATGGAGACAGCTCCAAGCAGCCATTGCACCAGCTTAGCCACATCCATTTCTCATTACCCTCCTTCCAAGGGGAGGTGAGGCAGGGGACCACCCTGCATGCCTGCCACCAAACATCCCAAGAAATACAAGAAAGAGGAGGAGATCTTTTCTGCAAGGGAAATCCAGACAAACACTGAACCAGAGAAACCTGGGAGGGAGCCTATGGATGAAATGCCTTGAGGCCCAGTGCTGGTCAATACGGTGCAGTATGAAATCACACTGAGATGCTGGCGCAGCTCTGGAGGGACTTGGTCTCAAGGCCAGCATTTGGTACAGTGCTGGAAGCACTCCCTGCACAGCCAGCCATAGAGGGCTGCCTCCTCACACCATCCACACAGCTCAGTTTGCCGTGGCTGTCACTTGCCATCCTGAGCGCCTGAGATAGGATCAGTTTCTGAGACACACTTCCATGCGCTACCGGGCTGCACAGAGAAGAAGCAGCAACACATGCAGAGCTACTGCCAGGGAGGGAGTTGGGAGGAATGGGCCAGGCTGGGAGCACAATATGACTGTCACTGTCCAGAGGATCCAGTACCTGTGAGAGGAGTCTGGGAACCACCCAAACATCACTCACCCTCATTACCACTGCCTCTCTGCATCCCATGAATGAAGGAACAGCTTGTTCTTTCACAGTGTTTCCCAAACTTGAGCTAATTCCAGGGAAGTGCTGGATTTTGCTGCACAAGTAAAAGACTTTTTATACACTGTTCATGACATCCAGAAGTTTGTAAAGGTCTTTGGGATGCATTTGGCTGTTAGACATTATATAAATGTGAGATAATTACCATTAGCATTATGCATTGTTTAAATACACTACAATATCTTCGATAATTAAAATACTGTTGGCAGGTTTGAAACAGTTTGTTTTATAACTAGGCTCCAGGGAGTGGTAAAAACATTTTTCATATAATCAATGCATCCACCTAGGAGGGTTATGTTTTGTTGACAGTAGCACTACGTGTGTACCTACCTACTCTGCACAACAATTAGTTCCCAGTCCAGTGGCAGCTTTCCAGAAATGCTAATGAAGAGTACAGATATAATACTCTCCTTAATGCAAAAGAGGACATTCTTCTCAGACAAGTGTTTCATCCCTCATCTCTAGCAGATCACACAAGCAGGCAAAATGGTGCTGCTAGACCACAACTTTCAGAACTACCTGAAATGCAGAGCTCTTCCCACCCAGCACAAGCCCAAAAGTGCCGTCCCACCTGGGGATGTCCATCAGTCCTTGCACCCAGACCTGCCCTAATGCCCCAGGGAGAGCCCCTGCCTCCCACTCTGACAGTACTAAGCCCCAGTATATGCTGGACCTGCTTCACTGCCTCCCACCAGCCTGATCCTGGTTCCTCCCAGGCACACAGCCCTGCTCTGGACACCAGCTCTGCTCCTCTTTGATGTGCATGTCTCTGCATGTGCAGCTGGAGGACTCGCTGTGTCAGGTACAACCTCTGAAGGAGCAGAGCCCCAGTGACACAGAACAGATGCACCTTTGAGAAGAGGTACCATGCAGAGTCTTGCTGGCAAAACGCTGCCTAAATGGTGCAGAGATCATCCAGAAATACTATGTCAATTAAGAGCAAGTTTTTTCTAAGGACCTAATCAAATGGCAAGACCAGTTTAAGGAATTTGACAAATTCTGATCTCTTTTTTTTAGCATACTCTAAATATTTGTCCATGACATGTTTTCTGAAACAGCAAGAGAATATTTTAAATTGCTAAATATGCCTAAACCAGACTTTTAGTGATACTTACCCTGTAACTCACTTGATTTAGAAGTGTTTTGCTTATACATTTTAGAGACTCTGTGCAGTGTTCTTCTGAAGAAAAAGAGAATCTTCTGGTTTCAGATTCTTAGATTATTTTCTTTCTTTAAATAACATGGCTTTAAAGGGTTAATCAAGGAATTACCATGCTAGCACCATGAACAGCCCATATTCATAAAGGACATGATTTCTGTCCCTAATTTGTTCTGTCCAACTTCATTACCTGGTATCATACCTAATTACTTCACCTTATAGGGAAATGCAGGCTAATGAGGAAGGATGTTATTCACCATATTTAAAACATGATGAAGCAAATGAAATATTACGAAGAGGCAAAAAGGTGATTTGTTTCCTTGTAGCATGCCTGTAAATTAGTCTAGAGGAGATGAAGACTTTGTTTAATTACCGTTTGGAAGGCTTTGTTTAAAACATAAACTGAATTTTTATGCCACCTTCTTGAGACTGTTTGGCAGGCAGCAGCCTCACACTCTTCCCAGTAAACTGTTAGTTTCAGGGCCACATATGCAGTAAAAGATCTTTCCATTTACATTATTTGAGTTTTATAAGCACTGTTACTTATTTTTTCAAACGACAGTATCACAGAAAAAGAAGTTTTATATTTTGAAGTGTAGAAAGCTGATCATTGCATAAATATTTTCAAAAGAAATCACTATATTTCACAAAGACAGGTATGGGTTTTGCCATAGATTGGGGGGGGGGGGGGGAAGAGAAATCATCAGAGATCCAAAAATACTTTTCATTTGGAGAAGATATCAGACCATTTCGATGGCACTGATAGAGTCTCTGCTCTGTCTCCATTGCCTGCTGAAGGCAGTCAGAGTAAGGAGCTGACTATGCTAGATTATATTCCCTA